TCAAAATGTGATTCAAACTGTAACAATTCTATTGAGACGTCATCCGACAATCCTCTTTGACAGTCGATGACAGTTCAGATTGACAATTTTGATCATGATAGAAATATGAAGGTGCGGTCTCATCGGTTAGACAAATAGGATAGAATACAAACTAAAGAATGTCGACAAAAGAAATTAAAATTTTTATTTCGTAAGCAGACCTAGTGTGATTTACATTGCACCTACTTCAATCTGTTTTGCAAACTATCTAGTGCCTTTTCGATTCCAGCTTTGTTCCACTGTCAGAGATGTCATTCGTGCCTGGATAAATAATGGTTTGAAAAATATCTCTGTAGTATTTACAAGAACCGTTTTTTGTGTACGAATCAGATTCCCGATATGTTTTGTGCAGTGAGAGTGAAAATAATCATTCAGACATGTAGTGTCCCGACTACCCCTTTTTATGCCAACGTCCAAGAAGAAATAAATAATTACAAGTCAATCTGACGTGAAATCAGCTGTTCAAAGGTTAAAGAAGAACAAGTGACGTCTTTAAAAGTTTTTAAAGCGCTTGCCTTACTTATCCTTCGAAGAAGTTATTAAAGCAAAAAACTATGTACAAGTTCTCTAAGGCTGAAGCGGCGAAGTATTTCATTCACGAACGCCACTGCCAAGCTTCGTTAAGTTTTCCATTAATATACATTGTAGAGTTTTTCAAGACGCATCGAATGGTGTATTGTGCTAGGCCAAATATTGGATAGTTATGAAGAAATTTCGATTTTACAGTCATACTGCTCGTACTGAGGGGTTGTTTGTTTCCAACTAGATTCTGTCGTATATGCACGACTGAAAGCGCGCAGAAGATTCGAAATCATCGAATATGATGACTTTGAACAAATTGGAGCTGTAAAGGTCGGTGGGCCAATTTGAAGGCTTATGCTGACTGGTCCTTTGTGGAAAGAAATGCTTTGATAATATTGATAATCTTCTTTTCTTATTTTGTCCTAGCTGCAATAAAATTATTTCGGAAACTAAGGTTTTTCAAAAGAGAAGCTGCTTCGTATCTCTTTAACACTAGGAAAATTTGGTCGGTATATCGAGTGCTACTTTTAAAATGTCTGCAATCAGAAAACCAATGTCGATTATCGACTTGCAAGATTTGTAGTGTATCTATAGAGTGTCAGGTGGTAGGGTATGACAATTGCCATTAAAACTGTCTCTCTGTGATTCGAGGCAAAGTTCCTGTCCTTAGACGAGTTCATAGGAAAAATTTAGAGATTGTTCGGTTTTATTGAGCACTCAACCTACTAAAACCACAAGATGGAAGAAACTTCTCTCGGTATACTGAGCGGTTTCAATAAATATTGCGATAAACCGACGATGCTCAATATTAAAACTCGGCATGAATTTTGTTAGAATCAACCGACAATTTCTGCGTAATATCGTTGTTTATTTTTCTAGATACTGAAGTTTGAAAATCTTGACTTGCCTTTGATAAAGCGGTTATTATTGAGTGACGACATTTGGATACGCTATTGTTTTTACGACATATATTATGACGTTCACACTTATCGCCACATTAGTCACCTAATGTTTACGAAATCCATAATCTAACAGAGGAAGCGCCAGATACTTGAACAACATAATTATGGTTGTAAGTTAAAGCTTAACAGAAAACAGGTAAGAAAAGACTTTCTTCTAGTTTCAAACATAGGAAAGCTTTTTGTTTTGTAAAGAAGAACAGGAGGCTTATAGAAGCTCTGCTTTACAACGCTGTCTTATGCTCCGTGGATATGTTTAAGTTCGTCCACGGTACATACAATGACATTGTCAGACTTTGATAAAAGTTTCATAGTCTGTTGGTTTGAAGATATATACTACTTCAGTGCCTAATTGCTTTATAAGAAAAATATTTGACAGAAGGACAAAAGAAATGAGTGGCATGAACACAATACAGTGTTAAGTATTTAAAAAATATAAATGCTAAAGGTATAATTTGTATACTAAGTTTAAATTACACTCACTCGTTAGAAACAATTTCTTTTACTGTCAAAAAATTTCTTTAAAAAAATGAAAGCAAAAGCAAAGCTGTTGCTCAAAACATGCATGTATCGATTCTCCAAACGCTTTGTTGTTCTATTGCCCAAGTAATTTCTCTCGTCGAAACTTCTAAATCGTTCAATTATACGACCGAATGATGCATATTAATATGATTTTAAACCATTTACAACTACGTATCAATGAATTTCACGAATTAACTTGTGATATACAAAGTCGAGACCATTGTCTAATGCTACATGCTCTTCACAAGTGAGGACCCGTTTTGAGAAGTTTTTAACTACACTTACACCGTGTTATGCATTCTGCTAAACACATGAGGATTGATGTGTATTCCGCAGAATGTGCAGCTTTTCTGATGATCTCACTCTAAGTCTTGGCTCTCTGACAAACGAGTCCGCCAGGGATAGAGGTAACTCGACTGTGTATGATATTGTAGATCAAGACTATTCATCAGTCAATAGATTTGAGATAACTCACGTTTTTTGAACGTAATTCCACTGACGTCTTCTATTATCAATGAACTAAGAATTAAATGTGCAACATGCACAATGAAAATTTCAAAAAAGGAAAGTTTAATATAGCCGTATGTAGTCACGTTACTACTATTTTAATAAAGTAACATATTGCCATTGCTTAAATAATACAGACGAGATTGAAAAGTCAACAACAGACTTATCTCTAATGACAGGGCATCTACCAAAATCAACTAATAAAATATCAAATTTTCTTCTGATACTGAGAAACCTAGACGGAGTTCGGACTGGAAATAAAACTTAAGTATAATCACTTAGATACATTTAAACCAAGAACACCTTCGTCAATTGCACAAGATTCTCGCTACTTTTCGAATGTCTTATTTAGTTCCATAAACATATATAATAACAATCAGTTGGAAACGCTCTTATCAATGGCAAGCCAACCGAAAAAACAAGTCGATCAACTACAAACTCAATGGTATTAGAAATCGAATTTCGACCCATGGTCGGTGAATGAAATGGAAGAATGGGCAAAGTATTCTGATATCGAATCAGGAATTATTGAAGAAATCTTTAATGAAAAAAGTAAAACAAAACTGGCTGAGTTAGACAATTATTGGATCAATCTAAATGACTCCATTCAAATCAGTAAACACGACAAAAATAAATACAGGCCAATAAAGCGAGTTTTGATTGATATAAATGGAAACAAAGGCTTAAGAGAACAAAGATTTTTTCTTCCCGAACCAGTGGATAAGCTGTTCACCGATGACCTTGGTAAAACGGCCTTAAATTTTGTTAAACAGTGGAGCGCGAAAGCTAAACAGCTCTCTAGAGCCGAAATAGTGAACCAAGCAGCGAACGGAATAATTATTGAAGGGAATCAACTAGGCCGAAGTTGCGAATCACAATGGATTGCCCGACAACTGAAAACCGTGCAAAATAAGGAACAAAAAGATACTTACAAGTGTTGCATCATGCTATACACAAAAGAATGTTTTTTATACAAATTACTAAACCAAACAATGAGAAAAAATGATACCACCAAAGTAGACACTCTAGCCCCATTTTGCTACTAGCCCCATTAGAAATGTCAACAGCCTCCGCCTTCCCACACGAACAAGAAGTCCTACTTCCGCCCGGTACACCATTCCGAATTGCCGATCTTACATATGGCAACCGAACCAAAAAAACCACAATCCACTTACAAACGACTACATATTACACAGCTACTGTACGATCATTACCTTACTCCTTTCGCGCTCATCGTCGTTTCTATTCAACTCAAATATCTGGCGTGCTTTCACAGGCATGTGAAAGTTCGGTTGTTGAAGGTGATGATGGCCTCATTTCATACTCATAGCGTACATGAAAAATATAGGAAGAAAAAAATACTATAAGCAAAGATAGAGAGAAAAAAAGCATCGATCAAGTCTTCTTGATCGAAATAAGTAGATTGAAGTTATTGTTCTGTTTTTCAGCAGTGATTATAAGATCAAATATCGATAATTTTGTTTAACTATTGATCTTATTTCCATGAAAACAAAAAAAGACCTTGATAATGAGATAAATTCACTTTATTATAAAATATTTATATAAAGGTAGAATGTGAATGTGTGATATTATTACTGCTTTAAACATAAATGAACACGAAAACTAAAAATTCTATTATTCTTTATTTTTTATCTTCAGTTTATAAGGAAAAAAGCTATTACGTATAATAATGATGATTTATGTGTATTTTCTGTTTTTATTATTATTTCCATTGACAATGATTTTCGCTTCTATTGTACAATTATCATCATATGTTAATAGAACACATTAATATATGAATCCGGTTGTATCAGGTATTATTTAGTCTTTAATTTTTATATAATCATAATAACTCTATTGAAGTTCATTAAATCTGCTGATTGAAAATATTGAACTTGTTTTACAGTAAAATCTCTGTGTTGTGAACACCATCAGGACTTTTCAGAAGCGTTCACTATAGAGAAGTGTTCACTGCAGGGGGATGATGCATGTTTTTCTCGGCCTAAACGAGCGTGACGGAATTACATTTTCTAATCCAGTAGGGAACCACAATATTTCTAGTTCTTGAACGCTAAAATTTTTCATCCTCTACGTAAACTTGTTCGTTGGTTCTGAACATTTTCCCACATAGGTAATTCAACGCGCTGTACAATCCGGCACTGCCAAATACGTTTAGCTGGAAGTTCATAGTGGGTCTTTGGACACCCAGATTCTAGAGATCCATCCCAGAAAGGCGTAGCGGCCGAAACCGATATCAGATTGGTGAACAGTATCCACAATCGTGTTTGTTTTAAGGAAAAAGCGACTGAATACTTGGGAAAGTTCCCTCGTGTGTGTGAAGCGCAAAGCAGGAGCCACTCATAAAGAAATAGTCTTGATTGTATCCACCTGAAATTAGTAATCGGTTGCTTCCATGAACTATCCGCAAAAATTGATAGATGATCTCTATGCTCAGCCATAATTTCACTATAAGCAGATTGACTTACGCTCAGTTTAATGGTACTTTTACTTTTCAGAAAAATGGCCGTATCATATTTTTTTTGATTGTACAATGTTGCTATCTAAGCAGCCATGGTCAGTTTGTGATCAAAAGTTCTCGATGTCTCAAGACGTGTCACTACTATTCTAGTGTATATTGAGATTCCACTACTCGAGTACTGTATGACCTATTACTCAAATATTTTTAAAAATGCTGTGCCTACGTTGCTGTAGGTCGCAGAATACTTTTTGACTGTGTTAGAAGGATTAACTTTGATACAGTTTCTTGCAACTAGTAGCAGATTGTGGTTTCAAAATAACTAGAATGTGAAAATAAAACTCATTTTTTCGAGAAAAAGAGAAATCAAATCATTTTTGTCATCCGATTGTCAAGACGCAGGTGGCTGGAATGAGGTAGCCGATGTTTTTAATTTGAAGATAGTTCGACTCGTATCCATCATAAATACAACGGTATTTTCACAGTTAGTATCATTCTCTTCTTTTCTCTATTCAGATCCGTTCGAAATCAAACCAACAATTATGTTCTCAACATTATTCGTTATCGCTTGTGTGGCTCTTGCTTCTGTGAATGATGGCGCGTAGGAACGTGAGAAATCACGAGAATATTATGGTGATCGCTGTGAAACTGATCGATGTCGTGCTAAATTTGCTGGCGTCTACTATTTAACATTGACAAGAGACGACAATGTTACCCTATATGAAGTCGCTACATTCCAGATGGAACATTCACTAGTGTCAATTCCGATCAAGACATTAATCTGTATTCAGACAATCCAGAAGATTTGGGATATACTGATCTGAATGGTGTCTGAAAATGTGCTGGCAAACCTGGTCAAATCACAATCGGTGCATTGGACTTCTCATTTCCAAATTTGAGACTCCCATGTACAAGAGCATTAGAGCGTACAACATACACACTTGAGATCAACAAAGAGTATACACAAGTCTCAGGTGGATTAACATACAGCGGATATCAATTGGAATCGACTTCTAGTGCTAATCAAAAACAACAAGTAGTTTTGTATGGTCCGTATTCATGGACAGTTCAAGGGTACAAAGTATTCGATTTATGTGAGAAAAAGAAAGAGAAACATTCTTATGGTGGAAAAGGGAAATACGAATGATGGAGATCATTAGACAGATGATTCAAATATTCTAGCAGTCACAGAAGATTTTATTTCAATTACTTTCTTTTGTTTGTTGAACTACATGAATGTATTAGAGATTGA